CGCTGACCCTATGGCTGCCGAGGGATACAGGATGGGTATGTGCCCCCATGGTGTGGCTGATGGTGCTGACCCCAACCCCACCATGGGATGCCCAGCCTTGAGGGGATGGATGGTGGCACATCCCAGCAGGGCCAGCCAGGCTTTTGGAGGGTATAAAAATATAACCCGTGTTTTGTGTTCAAATTAACCACATACACATTCTGTTTCTGATTCCAGCACAGCAAAGGGCAGCAGGTGCCTTGTGAGGGGTTTGTTTATGGGGCAGAGGAGCCACAAGCTCTGTTTCTGCCCCATTAGGCCCCCCTCATGTTTACCAGCAAAGCTCTGTTCCCGGTACAACCGTCCTGACAATGCTCTGAACAGAGTCAAGACTTTATGCCAGGAAAAGGTTTTTCTACTGGAATAGTTTATACGAGTTCCCCTCACAGGGTAAAGCAGCACCGACAAAAACATACTTCTGCAGATTGACCAGGACTCCTGCCAGCTCCTGAGACAGGAGAATGTTTTTCACCCATCTCACTGCTCACTCTTACAGAGAAAACATGACACACGCCGAGCAGGGCTGGGCGAACCCGGCACGATAAATGAACTGGAAGTCCCTGAGCCATCCGGCAGCAGCACGCAGGGGCCCGTGCTCCCTTTGCTGCTCGCAGCCCGCCCTGTTTTCCAGCTCTGGGCTGATTTATGCCCACTAACAGGACGTTTGCTCTGCTTCACTCTGGTTTACAGAGCCCTCATGCACTGGGCGCAGCAGCCCTGGGATGGAGAAGCACGTCCACAATGGACCCACAACGGGTGTGTTGGCTGAGACATGGCCAAACCCTCTCCAAAACCAAGCTGCAGCAGGGGAAATCCCCCCAGAGTGGGCAAACAAGATGGGAAAAGGGGATTTTAGAGCAAAGCCGGGAAGCCCTGTGTTGGAGAGGCTGCAGCTTCCAGCCCCGTCCCTCCCATGGGGCCCCTGTCGCTTCCCAAAGCCTTATTGCACTTGGAAAGCCCAAAGGGAAGGAATGAGAAGGTGAAGCAGAGACAGATGCAGAGTCCTGACAAGAAATACCAAGGACTAAATCACTTCTGGTTTTATCGTGCCAAAGATATTTGCATTCTTATTTCTCCCCCGGAGGCACAACCTCTTTTGTTGCCCCATAACCACTTGCACTGTCCCTGCCAGGAAGAATTACAGCTTGGGGAGGGCGACCCATTCCCTTTTATAACGGGATATCAGCTCCTGGAGGCCAGATGAGGTGGTTGCTCTTCATCTGCACCCCTGAAAGGCATAACCCATGGGAGGACAGGGTTTTCTGCAGGGCGATAGGAGGCTCCCCCAAGGCACAGTGTCCATCGCTCCCCATGGATTTGAGCTTGTTTAGGGCGGGACTGCGAGGGGTGAAGCTGCTGAAACCTGCTTGTGAAGATGAGGAAGGCGGCGGCCGCTGGACCAGCTTTGCCATGAGGAAGCTCCAAGTTCTGGAGGAAAAGCCATCCCTGACTTGTCAGCAGTCTGCAGTTCTGTGCCCGCTGCCCTCACTGCACTGCCCCGCCAGCAGCTCGCACTGGGGCACACAGAAAAGGGAGACAAATGCAGCAGCCCTTGCCGACGGGTGAGGCATCGAAGAACAGTTTAACCTGGGTAGTTTATCCAGGGATACAAACCAGAACCCCCATGTTCCACTTTAACCCAGCAAAGGGCAGGGATATTCCGGGAGCCCTCTGATACGACCCGCGGCCTCCCAAACCTCGCTGGCATCATCCACCCATGCGCAGCACATTGAGGCCAGCACCGGGGTGCAGCCATAGCAGTGAGCTGGGAAACAGCACTGTTCATTTTTCCCTCTTATTTACTGATTTCAGGGAACTTTAGGGGAAACCCTAAAGCGCTCATTGCTTCAGTCCCAACCGCTGCCCCAGGCACTGGATCCCTGCCCAGTGCTCCCCGTGCCAGATGTCTGCCCCAACACTCCCTTCCTCCCCATTCATATAGGTGGTGAGTTGCCCACTTCCAGGTTGAATCATAAATCGCTGCTTTTTAAGCTCCCTACATAAGGGACGTGTTTTTCCCTAAAAACTCCTTATGTGCTGTCCGTGATGCCACAGCACAGAGGGGATGAGCTCAGAACCGGCACTCAGGGCTTCACCGTGTGCTCAGCCCCATCCCGGCGGCTCCCGTCCCATCCCAACACCTCACCCTGCAAACGGGATAGCTTCTGCCTGCTCTGCCGCGAGCCTGGGATGCTCCTGGCACTGCATCCCTGGTGGGATCATGGCAACGCTGCCCGAAGGGGCTAAAGAGTGTGAAGATACTCCTCGCGCTCCAGATTGCACAGTATCATCCCTATCCCTTTCCCACTGGGAGATCGAGGCCATTTCTGCCACGGGAATAATCCCCCCAGGGAAGTGGCAATGAAGATTCGTCTGGACAGGGTGCTGGGTCCAGCCTAGGTCATGCTTTGCCTAGAAAGCGTGGACCAGCTTGACCCCCGCGGCCCCTTCTTTCCCACCTGGAATTCCACG